CTAATCATCATAAGTCCACCCCTTATCACCTAATAACCCATACACATCTCTTTAAGCCAAACCCTTAATATCTAGATAATAACAACTGTCTTAGTTCAGGTGGTTAAAACAAAGTGCTGGAGGCTGGGTGACTTAGAAACAGCAGACATTCATTTTTTTCTACAGTTTTTGTAAATAGATTTTTTTAAGTTTTTACCCTTAAGCTTTTGAAAGAATTGAAACTGTAACTCTACATCATAATTTCTGTCCTATTGTCATGACATCCTGATGCTCGATCTTACCTACAACACTATTATTGCCCAACAGAGCTCAATATTGAACCAAATTCTGACATATCCCAATTCTTTTCATTCACTGAACAAAATTCTACTTGCAGGACCCATGCTGAAGTAACCTGAATCCTCTTCCTTCTCTTAACTCTGCTAGTCTTGCCTTCTTCAGATTAAACAACACAGTTTCTTTCATTCTTTGATATCCTAATTTCATATCCTCTCATCTCCCTGTCTCTTCTAAGAAAGATGCTGAGGCTGTGAACTGTAAACTTGACCAGCAGAAAATAGAATAAACAATCACCACCCGTACTTCAAATATAATATTTCCATTATGTATTTGCTTTTCTAGAAGCCAGTTTCCACTGCTGTTTTTGTATGCCATCCACAACTAGCCATAATGATATAAAATTAAATGCTTGTTTGCTAACACTACCAAAATAGTATTTTGCTTTCATTTTAAAGGTGATTGAGTCTCATTCCTAAAAAATATCTCAATTATATTGTTTATGTATTTACAGATGATCCCAAATTGATTAACACATGCACATACAGAGATTGCTGAGAGGAAATAGAACCACTTCTCGTAAAGCATGTTTCTAAGAGAGTTTTCTACCTCATTTTACTTTCTTCAGTGTTCTTTTTTTATTTTCCTTTATAGTGGAACAATGAAAAATTTGTTTCCCTGATTATTCACAGTTCTCAGAATATGAATGGGGTAATACCTTTACCCTCTTTCAAAGATTTTTTCTAGTTATAATTTTGAGTTCTTTATTCATTTTTAGAAATTCTCTTTTTGAATAATTATGCTGATGATATTATAACTTAATTATCCGGGGCCTCCCTGGTGGCTCAGGAGTTAGACACAGTGCTATCAAGCTATTGCCAGCTACTGCAACATGAGTTAGATCCCTGGCCAGGGACCCACATGGTGCAGCAGACCTCACCTGTCTCACCCACTGCTCCCCTCGGCAGTGTATTTCAGTAGATCTGCCTGTTTTGCTTCCCACTCTGTCTCTGATGCATCCTCTCACCCCCATACCTCTGGCCTGTACCCCAGCTCTTATATGCATAAAAAAATAAATCTTTTTTAAAAAACTCAACTCAATTATGCTTAGCAAAGTTCCATTATCTCATTTCCCAAGGGGCACTGGTGAGCCCTGCCCTCCCCACCCCCCAGACAGGATACACAAGAACTCTGTTTTAAAGCAGTTCCACATGAATGCCTGTTTCTCCCTTGTGTTTTCCACCGCTGGGAATCACCTCGTTGGAAAATACAGTGCCATGCTGAATGTGCATTTCTCATTAAAATGTGAGCTGTTTCCAGGCTGGTATCTGTGCTACACATTCAGCTAACTCATTGGCCAAATTCAACCCACATATTTTGGACATTCTAAAACTGCACCCAGAGCATCTGTTCTGTGCAAAGGATTAATGGGGAAAAAATGTGCATGCAGGTCAGCAACCAGTCTAGTCACTGCACATCCCACTTTTGATGCTTGAGCCGCCCACAGTGTTCGAGACAACAATCAGCAATGCTGAGTTTGTGGTTTTATGGCTTATTTTAAATCTTAACATTTTTAATTTATAAATGGGAAGGCAGGGCAGGAAAAAGTTAGAAAACACTATGTCATATGTTAGTTCTTGACCATGTGATAACCTCTATGGTTTCTAATACTAGATTCCTAAAGAAAATACTTTCTTCAGGATGTGCTTTTATGGTCAAGAATCTAAGAAATGGTTGGATTTCTTTTTCTACGAGTGAAAGAAGAAGAGAAATGCAATTTTGAATCTCAATATTAAAAGGAAAAAAAGCTTATGTATATTTTCCCTTACCCAGAGCTCTTTCTTCCTTCTTTTTTGTGTATCACCACAAGAGGGGAAAAACATACAATTAAATGATTCTGGAAAGTGGAACTTAACACATATTTAAGGAGACGTGTATATAAAATATAGATGTTGATGTGAACTATCAATATGTCCATGTTTTTAAATGAATGCCATATATATAGAGAACACCAAAGACTGATGACTAGACATTATTCCCAAATAAAATCTCCCAAGTTATACTTCACAAATCCTCAAGTTCCAATCTTACATTAGAGAGCTAAATTGTCATAAAGATGACTAAGGAAGCCTCATTTAATTTTGCTTAAGGAGATGAATTTAGGGAATATTAACAAAAGAGAACCATTCTTGGGCCTCGCCAGTGGCACAGTGGGTTGAGCGCTGCGCTGTGAAGCGGTCCACAGCCTCTGCAGCGCGGGTTTGATTCCCGGCAGGCCGGGGAAATACACACATGGCGCGGCAGACCTCTCCTGCTCACCAGCTGCTCCCCTCAGCAGTGTCTTTTGTCCATCTGCCCGTTCTGCTCCCCACTCTCTCTGTTGAATTCTCTCAACTTCCCACGCCTCTGACCTGTACCCCAGTTCTTGTATAAATAAATCTTAAGAGAGAGAGAGAGAGAAAGAGAGAGAAAGGAAGGAAGGAAGGAAGGAAGGAAGGAAGGAAGGAAGGAAGAAGGAAGGAAGGAAGGAAGGAAGGAAGGAAGGAAGGAAGGAAGGAAGGAAGGAAGGAAGGAAGGAAGAAGGAAGGAAGGAAGGAAGGAAGGAAGGAAGGAAGGAGGGAAGGAAGAAGGAAGGAAGGAAGGAAGGAAGGAAGGAAGGAAGGAAGAAAGAAAGAATTACTCTTTCAAAAGCAAAAATTTTGTTTCTGTCTTTACCCCAGCTATATCCCTGGGCCATTTACCAGCCAGGCAGGAAGGAGCCAACACCTTCAGACATTCTGTGGCAGAAATAACCAGTGACCAAAACAGTGAAGACCCTCTGTACTGGCTCCCATGTTGAGGCCACTATTTGTTAGATGCCCTTCACAACACTGTGTGCTTAGTTAGAATAGCTACTATGGTTACCTCTGATTCTCCATTCACAAGCACATGAAAACAGAACAGAGTTTTCTCCCCACCAGCTTACCCCCTATACTTGGAAGAAGACTACAACCTAAGGATAGATAGTAAATGTAGCAGAGGTGACAGTGAAAGTATTATGGAATTCTTGGTTTCAAAGCCCTTTACTAAGGACAGGTTAATTATAGAAACACTGACAAAGCTTGGTAAAAAAGCAATTTCAAGTATAGTGAATCCCCACAACATTGGACAAAAGACACTGTGTGAGTAACGTTACAAAAAAAGAACAAGAAAAGAACAAATTCTAATCTCCCTGATACGGCTTTCAGTTCCTGACCTAGAACAATCTGGGTCCAGCTTTGGTCCACTGTAATTCTAATCTTAAAAAAGAAAACAAGGGTCTACTCAAAATATTTTCTAATGTTTATCTTTTCCTTAAGAGTCAGACACTGGTTATTTACATCTTCAATAGTGTTCCCACTTTTTTCCATGTTTTGAATTTAAAATGACAACTTTTCGATAAGAAGTAAAATTTACAAATCTAAATGTTTGCTTTTTTTATAGGTAGCAGAGCAAAGACAGTTGCTTTGCTGAAAAGATTGTCCCGGAGCACCCTCTTATGGCAAAAATGCACTAAGGAAAGTACTTCCCTGGGAAAAGCCAAAGGGCTTTAAATCTTCAATGCAAGGAGATAGATGTCTTAAGTCTTTTCTCCATTTTTTTTAAATTTTATTTATTTGTTTATTTGTTCATTTGTTTTTAGATTTTTATTTATTTATGCATATAAGAGCTTAGGTACAGGCCAGAGATGTGGGAGGTGAGAGGATTCACCAGAGACAGAGTGACTGACTGAAATACACTGCTGAGGGGAGCAGTGGGTGAGCCAGGAGAGGTCTGCTGCTCTATGTGGGTTGCTCCCTAGCTGGTCGGGGGTCGAACTCATGCTGCAGAGGCTGTGGATTGCTTCATAGGGCAGTGCTTAGCCCTTTGCACCACCAGAGAGGCCCTCTTTCTCCATTTTTGATAGGAATTTAGAAATCACCTTGGTACTCAAAAAAATAGTCTCAGTGCATTTAAGTATATTTATGCATACAAAAATTAATTTCTATCGTGCTAGAAAACATGGGACCCTATACTTCAGATTCATCAGTCATGCCAAACCTAAACAAACCCAATTTTTATACTGCTGATGAGCTTAGTTACAAGATGGATTACTTCAACCACCAGCTGGACTTTAAGCATTTTGTGAAGTGCTATCTCTCATTAAAACATTCACATGTAGGGCCTCCCCTGGTGGCGCAGCGGTTGAGCACTGGGCTGCGAGGCTGCCTGCAGGGTTCGTTCCCAGGCCGCCAGCGAGGGTCCCACAAAAAAAACCCCAAAAAACAAAAAAAAACATTCACATGTATTTCAGTAGATCTACCTGTTCTGCTACCCACTCTCTCAGGTGAATCCTCTAACGCACCCCCACCCCCGCCCTACACCTCTGGCTTACACCCCAGTTCTTGTATGCATAAATAAATAAATCTTAAAAAAAAATTCAGGGCCTCCCCTGGTGGCTCAGGTGGTTGAGCACAGCACTGTGAAGCTGTCTGCAGCCTCTGCAGCATCGGTTCAATCCTGGTCACTGGCGAGGGTCCCACATGGCGTGGCAGACTTCTCCTGTCGTGCCCGGGCTCCCCTCAGTAGTGTATTTCAGTCTGCCTGTTCTGCTCCCCACTCTGTCTCTAGTGAATCCGCTCACCCTGGCCTGTACCCTGGTTCTTGTATAAATAAATAAATCAATCTTAAAAAAAAATGTTAAAAAAAAATTCACATCCACTAACCTCTGAACTCCTCTAGGATGCCAGCCCATTTGTGTGTTAAGCACCGTATAAGTTGTTTTTGGATCGTTGATTCCTATTGTTAAGATCATGAATGGTCACAGCTGTAAACATGGTTCTCTGGAGAGTTTTTGCTGCAGCTGGAAAGATAAAAAATGAGATAATAATTTTGACCAAATGGCAAATATTTACAATAATTTAGCATAACAGGAAATTCACACATAACTTCTGTTCCTTGTTATTTTTTTAACCCATTAGACTTCTCAAATGTTCTGTACATATTGAGAATAAATCTGTATGAGCTTATATTAAATATTAGATAAAGTCATTCAAATTTAAACATACCAGGTTTCACACATCTTTAAATGGTAATCAAGAGAAAATATTAATATTAGATATTAATTTTATCTATTCCTTTGAGAAATGATCTCATTATTAACCTACAATCACCTATACTGAAGGTACAATATAAACCCAACCACAGAATTTCCAAAAAGATCAGGCCTAACTAAAGCAGCCTCAGCCTACAGAGTTATAGGCATTCTAGGTGTTAAAACTTGGGACCAGGGCCTCCTTGGTGGCTAAAGGGATTAAGTATCAGCATTATGAAGCATTCCTCAGCTACTGCAGCATGAGTTCAATCCCCAGGCAGGGAGGTGACCCATATGGCGCAGCAGACCTCTCCTGACTCACCTGCTGCTTCCCTCAGCAGTGTAATTCAGTAGATCTGCCTGCTCTGCTCCCCACTCTGTTTCTGGTGGATCCTCTCACCACCACCACCACCTCCACACCTGTGGCCCGTACCCCAGTTCTTATATGCATAAATAAATTAACCTTTAAAAAATAATTTTAAAATAAAAAAAAAAAGAAAAACATGGGACCAATGCCAGAGGGAGAGGGGCTACCTCTTCAGAAAGGAACTTAGAGGGCAGGGGCTGGATAGTGGGGGACAGGGCAGGACACATGATTAAATACCAGGATAGACCAGGATAGAGAGGACAAAGTTAGGAGGGATTATTAGGCAAAAGACCTAACTCAAATGTCCTAAACAGCTGTTCACCATAAGAGTAGTTGGCTACTGCATCCTCCCTGGCTGTGCAGGCGGTTGAGCACAGTGCTGTGAAGCTGTCCACAGCCTCTGCAGTGCCGGTTTGATCCCCACTGGCCGGCGAGGGTCCCACATGGCACGCAGACCTCTCCTGCCGCCCGCTGCTCCCCTCAGCAGTGTACTTTGTCAGTCTGCCTGTTCTGCTCCTCGCTCTGGCTCTGGTGAATTCTCTCAACCTCCCGCGCTTCTGACTGTACCCAGTGCTTGTATAAATAAATAAATAAATCTTTTATAAAAAAAAAAAAAAAGTAATTGGCTACTGCCATAGTTGGTCCTCAGGGACAGACTTGGGAGACAGTATCCTCCCTAGAGCATCCAAGAGTGGGCACATGTGAGAGGTGAAGTCTCATTAAGAGTTCCTCAGAAATTCCGAGAACCAAGTAGCCAAGATCAGTGCAGTTCCCAGGAGCAGGAAATATGACCTAGAGCCAGAAAAGGAGACAGGGTCAGCCCCAGACAATGACAGTGTCTGGAGTTTGGTGAGTGGGATAGAGGGGAAGTTGCAAGGTGAGGGTAAGAGAGACAGAAACTGAGAGACTACTTACCCAGAGTTGGAACTTTTAAAATAATTTTAAAATTCATTTGTTTCTCTTCCTCCCACCAAAAAGTCCTAGCACTCCGAACAGAACATAAAATGTGCCATTATGTACACCCTCATTTTGGATAAAAGGTCCATCAGGAATTCAAATTGTTCTCATTGGTTGCTTCCAAAAGATAACTTTTTTCTAAAAATCAACCCAGTGGATTGGTCCTGATCCATTGATCATAACTTGATCCTTGGACCTTCTCTAGATAAATTCTAGTTCCAGGGGACTCAAGGTTCTTTGAAACCCCTTTTAGCCAGTGATGAATCCTGCCTCCTTCACCTGACCTTGGCATTGAAGATGACCATGCATCCAACTGAACTTCAGGGCACCAGGTAGTTGAGCAGCTGATCTAATTTCACTTTTCTGTCCCTACACCTGCTCCTTATTCCAGAATTTCCTGGAAACTACCAAGAAATTCCTCTAGAGGGCACTTTCCTGCTACATGCGATGATTGGGGATGATCAGCACTTTATTTCCCCCCAAAAAGGTTATAAGGAGGTTCTAAGAAAATGGGGTAGCAAACTGGAAATTCATTATTTCTTTCCCATGCCATATCAAACAGTGCTCCTAGAATTTAAAATAGATGAGGCTGAAATGAATATGAAAATTATAGAAAATAGAGATGAAATCAAGTCAATGCTTCTCAACAGCCTCATTCCACATTCTCAACAGCTACATAATTCTTCATACTAGATCAGAACCTATAATGATTCCAGAAGGATACTAGAGCAAACAGGATTCATAATTTGGAGAGGATACACACAAGGTTATGAGGTCTGTGAACCTGTACAATGTGTGTGCATTTTTTTTTTTAAGACAGAAAAGTTCTCAGAAAGGTTTATGAGATGAGAGGGAGGTTCGGAATCACAGGAAGCTCTCTCTTTTTTATTCCACTTTTTCTTGACCCCACCGAAAATTAGTAGAGAAAATTAATAATCAGAAACCCCTTCCAACTCTAAGATTACCTCGGCCGCCAGAAACATCATAGAATTGATGTTTGAGTCCCAGTTCTTTAGAAAGAGCTTAAGTGGCAGAAATGAAAGGCCAGCAAAGCCTCAGCATTCACCACCAAACTAAAAGGTACAGAATAAATGATAATTGTCAATAGTTAAGGCAGAATGCAGCTGAAAACAAAAGGAAGATAAAGGAGAATGGCTCACCAGGACCTGAAACCCCAGGCACTAGGGACAAATGGGAATCATTGACATAGAAAAAGGGGTGGAAACTCCCAGTGTGATGCAGATTTGTTTGAAGCTGAGTGACCAGCTCCTAGAGCTGGGAGTCCCCACCAACCAGCTCACCCCTCCCCCATAGTCCTGTGTGAACTCACAATACCTATCCTTCTGATAGCAATTGCCCTACAGGGATTTACGCTGACCAAAATGGAAAGCTTTGGATGAGCGGAGCTGAAGTCTGCCATCGATGTGAGAATTCAGAAAGGTCTAAAAAGTGGACAGGTGAGGCTGAAAAGAAAGCAAATTCACGGAACTGTGATTTACTTCTATTGCTTTCTGGATTGAAGTTTTGGTCTTTGATGTATACCGAAATCATCTCTGGGGAATTTGGGGTTTAGGATGTATTAGGAAATAAAGCCTTTCCCATCTGTCAATTAAATTTGACTTCTAAACAATATCTAGCAAAAATCTGTCTATTTGAAGATCGTGCTAGGTATCATTGCACCCAGTGATTCTCCCTAATCCCTATGGGAAATGAACATTTTCTCTGTTTAGCACTGGGATCCAACAAGTTCCTTTTAAATCAAATAATCAAACACACTGTCTGTAGCTATTGGGGGGAGGAATAAACCAAATTTACACTTTCAAGTAAATAACATACAGAAGACTACAGTGGCAGGTAGAAACAAAACCAAGAGGCTGAAAGAGTAATTCCAGCTCCAAATTGAATTCTGTGACCTTCTGGGGCCACTTACCTTCCCATTACCACCAATGTTCCATCTGATCTGACATTCAGCATGTGACAGAGAAAACTCCATGAATTTAATGTCCAGGCATTCACATCTTAGGAACTCTGAGTTCTAAATGCCAATCTAGCCACTTTCTAGTTGGGTAACTTTGAAGATTTGTTAAACATCCTCCTGTGTAAAACAGGAGTAATACAATTGACCTAAAGATTGTGGGATGGGGGTGTAAAAACTATCCCAATCTCCCTCTCAGATGATAGGGCAAAAAAGACAAAATATGTACACACAGAAAGCACTTTGAAAAATTAAAGTACTATTAGGTTGTCGGAAATGTCATGATGTATTTTTTCTGTTTTTCAAGCAAAAATGCATCATGACTTTTCCAAAAATCCAATATAGAGAGAACAGGAATGAATCAGTCCATAATAATGATATGAAGCAAAGTGAAGGAAGGTATAAGCACGACAAAAATTGACTTGTTTCAGATCTATTGAAATTGCTCTTTTGGCTTCTGCACAGCAAAAGAGACAATAACAAAAACAAAGAGAAACCCCACCAACTGGGAGAACATTTTTGCACCCAACACTAATGATAAAGGACTGATCACAAAAATCTGCAAAGAGCTGACGAGACTCAACAACAACAAAGAAAATAATCCAGTCAAAAAATGGGCAGAAGAGCTAAAAAGAAACTTCTCTGAAGAGGAAATGAAAATGGCCAACAGGCATATGAAAAAATGTTCAACATCACTTGTCATCAGGGAAATGCAAATCAAAACTACCATGAGATACCATCTTACACCAGTGAGAATGGCACATATTAAAAAAACTAGCAACAACAAATGTTGGCGAGGGTGCGGAGAAAAAGGAACTCTTCTGCACTGTTGGTGGGAGTGCAAACTGGTCCAACCACTATGGAGAGCTGTGTGGAGATTTCTGGACCTACTAAACATAGAGCTTCCATAGGATCCAGCAATTCCACTCCTAGGTATTTACCCAAAGGACACAGAAACATCAATTCCAAAGAGCACCTGCACCCCTATATTTATAGCAGCACTGTTTACAATAGCTAAGCTTTGGAAACAACCCAAATGCCCAAAAGTAGATGACTGGATCAAGAAGATATGGTACATATATACCATGGAATATTACTCAGCATTCAAAAAAGATAAACACATGCAATTTGCAGCAACATGGATGGCACTGGAAGGGATCATGCTCAGCGAAATAAGCCAAAAAGAAAAAGAAAAATACCGGATGGTCTCACTCATAACAGGAATCTAGAAAACTTAAATAAGGGACCAGGAAAATGAATAACTTTAAGAAAGTGAAAATCAAAATCAACAAAAAACTATGAACCAGAGACACTTTTAGGGGGGCGGGGGCGGGAGGGGAGGGATTGGGGTCAGAAAGGGGGGGCTGCAATTGTATGGGGAATATAACAATAAAATTTATTATTTAAAAAAAAAAAAAAAAGAAATTGCTCTTTTGGGGCCTCCCTAGTGGCACAAGGAGTTAAGCATAGCACTATGAAGCTCTCCATAGCCTCTGCTAGCCAGGGAGCAACCCACATGGTGCAGCAGACCTCATCTGTCTTGCCCCACTGCTCCCCTCAGCAGGGTATTTCAGTCAGTCAGCCTGTTATGTTTCCCACTTTCTCTGGCGACTCCTCTCACCGCCCCCCCACAGCACCTCTGGCCTGTACCCTAGTTCTTGTATGCATAAATAAATAAAATCTTTTAAAAAAATAACATCCGTAGTGACCAACCTGACTGGGGATGGTTCTGCAAGCCAGGGAGGCAAACAGCCTACACACCATGCACACAAACTTACATACACATGTACACACACACACAAGACAATCAGTGGTCCTCCTGGAGAAAGTGTAGTTTCTGGGGGGAAAATAAGGCACAAAAAATAATGCTCCTAATATGCAGGAATACATTACCACAAAACTAAAGTAGGGTTGTGCTAGAGCTTAAGCAAAAAGCTGTATTAAGAGTTAAAAGAGGGTCTCCCCGTGGCGCAGCGGTTGAGCGCTGGGTTGCGAAGCTGCCCGTGGCCTCTGTGGCACCTGTTCGATCCCTGGCTGCTCCCCGGCCACCAGCGAGGGTCCCACATGGCGCGCAGACCTCTCCTGCCGCCTGCTGCTCCCCTCAGCAGTGTACTTCTGTCCTTCTGCCTGCTCTGCTCCCCGCTCTGGCTCTGGTGAATTCCCTCACCCTCCCGCGCTTCTGACTGTACCCAGTGCATGTATAAACAAAATAAACAAACAAATAAATAAAATATGCCTCTAAAAAAAAAAAAATGTCCTTTATATACTTTCAGATAACACATAATACTCTCTTCCTTCCATCCACTTGGTAATCAGTGACTAAAGGTATTTTGGGGCCTCCCTGGTAGCACAAGGGGTTAAGATGCAACCTATGAAGCTGTCTGCAGCCTCTGTAGCATGAGTTCCATCCTCAGCAGCCCAGGAAGAAACCCACATGGTGCGGCAGACCTCTCCTGTCTCGCCCACTGCTCTCCTTCAGCAGTCTACTTTGGTTGATCCGCCTGTTCTGTTCCCCACTCTGTCTCTGGTGAATTCTCTCACCCCCCACACCTCTGGCCTGTACCCCAGCTCTTGCATGCATAAATAACTAAATCTCTTTTTTTAAAAAAAAAAGGTATTTTGTTAAATAGGTAAAAGATCAAGTGACAAAAAGAAAGGAATAGAGCCAAATGCCTGCCTCTGAAAAAAGTAAGGGTATGTTAAAAGAGACCATCAAACACTATACATTTAATGTGTTTGTAAGATATATGTGTATCTTTTTAATTCAAATCTGTCAGTTAAAATAGTGATATAATATACTAAAGAGGTTTAATATTACATTAATCAAAGCTGACAACCATGGCAACCATTTATTGTTGTATTTGGACAACTAATTTCAGATGAAATCTAAAACATTCAAGTCCCAGTTATTACCACTGACATTCCAACAAAAGTCTTAAGGGGAACTTTTGTAGCTAGATTATCCTGTTGTTAATGCATACTTAAGAAAACAAAATATGGGGCCTCCCCAGTGGCACAAGGGGTTAAGACACAACCTATGAAGTCATCCATAGCCACCGAAGCACGAGTTCAATCTCCGGCAGGGAGCTACCATATGGCGCAGCAGACCTCTCCTTTCTCGCTCGCTGCTCCCCTCAGCAGTGTATTTCAGTCAATCCACTTGTTCTGTTCTCCACTCTGTCTCTGCTGAATCCTCTCATCCCCCACACCTCTGGCTTGTACCCCGGTTCTTGTATGCATAAATAAATAAATCTTTAAAAAAAAAAAAACAAAATATGTATGTAACTAAATCCTACTCTATCACTACCATGGATTCAAAAAAATCCACTCAAAGTTGCACAAGTTACACTATATCACTTAATTTTATATCTATCTTATCATCCATCAAATTCTGATAGGGCCTCCCCGGTGGTGCAGCGGTTTAGCGCTGGGTTGAGAAGCTGCCCGCAGCCTCTGCAGGGCCGGTTTGATCCCCGGCCACCAGCGAGGGTCCCACATGGCACGCAGACCTCTCCTGAGGCCCGCTGCTCCCCTCAGCAGTGTACTTCGGTCCTTCTGCCTGCTCTGCTCCCCGCTCTGGCTCTGGTGAATTCTCTCACCCTCCGGCACTTCTGACTGTACCCAGTGCGTGTGTAAATAAATAAATAAATCTTTAAAAAAAAATATGATAATAGATTTTTAAATTTTATAACCATGATTAGAACATTTCTATTCCCACAGAACCAGAAAAGGAGAAAAAAATAAGTGACACATAACAATTTGTAATCTAGCCACATTTTGTGATCCTGGTGAAACAGAATTCAAAGGAGACTAGATAAAACTGTGCATGGACAACTTGGGCAAAAAAAAGTACTTGAAATGCCACCAGGGAAGACCCTGTAGTTATTTTAGAGGGTCTTTAAGTCCAAGCAGTTTTACTCACAATGAAGTAGGTATCCACTCAAACTGCAGATAAATGGAATAAACCAAATAAACTCTATTTAATTTAAATATAGATAACAGAGCATACTATGATCCAGTTAGGAAAAGTTGTTCCTTTCCATTGCTAAATTTAACACTTTCCAAATTGTGTGAATTTGAGCAAGTTGATTAAATTTTGAACATATTTTCTCAACTTGAAAATGAAGATAATAATATCAACCTCCTTAGAATAATTATGATAATTACAGTAAGCTGTGAATATAAGCTAACTGCTACAGGGCAGGGAGAGGGGGCAGCCCAAACCATGCAAACCTGCCTATTCTAAATGGGTTCTGCCATCTGCCGCATCAACACAAAACATATGAGACTTTAATGGGAAGGAACTTTAATACAAC